GCTCCTAGTGGGTCATTTGTTGCACCGCGCGAGCCGCCGTTTCCACCTCCTGCACGCCGTGCCTTGGGTCGTGATTCGGATTCCGTAAGGGGTGAATTTACCGGTCGAGGGACTCTTCCGGGTGGTAGATTGCGTCCTCCCACTCCCCCTAAAGCCAAAGGCGTTCCTCCGTCTTCTGCACCGGGGCTGGACCCGTACATCCCGATTGGAGCTCGGGTTTCTATTACGTCCTCAAACCCTTTGTTGCAGCGAGCCAAGAGGGCTCGAGAGGAGACACCCACGGAAGGTGAGGCATCAAGCTCTTCCGCTTCCGCTGCTCCGGCGCTGAGATTTGTCCCTGTTGCTCTTGTGACCGAATCCTTGAAGCACGTTGAGGGCCTTTTGCCACGTGGTGTCACGACCCTTTTGTCTTTGGATGTTCATAAAGTGGCGGACAGAGACGAGTCCGGAACGGCTGCTTGTATCCAGCGTTTGCTCAGCGATTATTTTGTTCTATCACACCTCGTCCCACGGAACACAAAGGGTTCGAAGTTGATTGGCCGCTTTGTGTTTCGAACATTATCAGCTCAAGCGAAAGCTGTTTGTGGCAGACAGCATGTCAGCTAAAAGAAGTCGGGCTGCTTCACCGGAGACAAGCCGTGTGGTGCAAAGGACGGAAGCAGAGGAGAGACACCGCACGGCTGCAACCGCGAGTGTAGCATCAAATGGTGAGGTCGGCAGGCGCGAGAGATCCCGCACGCCCCCGCCACGTGCCCAGCGGGAAACGTGGCGGTGGTGCTGGATGAAAACCATGTATGACGATGGAGAAGTGTGGTGGTGGAAATGGTGGAAGCAATGAAGACACAGCTGATGTCTACATTTTTTCTGTGGTGTGCCTGCCGGCACACAACAGACCGCTAAGAGCAGCTGCATGAAATTCTCACTGCATGACCTTCTCAGTGCATGAATGAAGCTGAAGCCGTCGAGTTACAAAAGTTGCACTGTTCCTTGCATATCGAAACACACTAGTTTGGGGCAGGCTGTAAACAGCGCAGCATTGTTTCTGTAACAACCTTTTTGTCTGCAGCTTCTTTTTCTGGGTTCAAGGGATTAAGGGAGCGCTTTCCCAGGTTGGCTAAGGAGTGGGTGTGAGCTGGCCCAGACCAGCTGGGACCCCTCCCTGCCTTCTTGGAGGCCAGAGCTTTGGTTGTGGAAGCTTGCTCCGCCAGCAGCTGCCGCTTTGCAAGCAACCCTAAGGGTTTGTGCGGTTCAGCTCCTGGCTCCTTTCACAGCGGATTCATTCTGCCGCAGCGCCTTTGTTGGGCAGTCACCAGTTTTGTTGGTGTTCTGCGAAATGGCTGATAAGGTGGGGAAAGCAAAGGCGGGATCATCCGCCCAACTGCTGTTTGAGATGACTCCTTGCGCATCTCTTCTGCAGCGGGCGCCCATCGTGGCAGAGCCTTGCGTCGGAATTTCTTCGTATCGGGAATGGATGATGCGGGCTGGGTTGCAGTATTTCCCCTGCTCTGTCATGGAGATGGATCAGTCACTGGTGCCATTTTGGCGCCAGCTCGTCCATAACGGCATGGTCAGGGCAGAGGAACTGAAGCTGGGACCTACAGCAGACTCTAGGTGCCGGTGCAAAAGATCGCGGAAACAGTGTCGGACCAGAAGACGGAAGGAAAGCGGGCAAAGGATCAAACCGCTCAGGGGTATTACCCTGCTCTAGCCAATTAATATAGGCGTCGGCCGTCTCCAAGTTCTGGCGGTCTGCCTGATCAAGTGCCGCGAGTCCACGCAGCTCAAAGGCGAAGCCACCCACAATCTTCAGATGCAAACTCCTCCCACCCCTCCCGGATGAGCCGATCCTCCGCGTTTCTCGGCTGCCAACAAAACCGCAGCGTTGAGAGCGAACCTCTCCTCCGGCGTAGTAGCCCCGCGGCCGCTCATACAGCAGAAAAGAAAACAATCGGGATGCGTTCAGATAACGAACACAAGTAGATTGGAGTTCGCTATTCCTCTGAAGGCTCTGCTTGGACAATCCTCTAGATTATCCGATGTCCCAATGTCAATCCCTGAAGGCTCAGCTGGGGTAACCCTCTTGATCACCCAATGTTCAATGTCACCCCAGGAAGAACGACACAGATCCAAAAGAAACAACCAATCGCATCGGCTCTCAGTGTGCCAGCCAGTGGGTTCGTTGTGCTGTGTTGCCGAGGCAGTCTACAGCTGGGGTTGGGAACCGAGGATGCGGTTCGAAGGCCAAGCACCGAAAACCGCGCTAACCCAAACCAGCAATCTCAATCAATCTCCAATCAACGCTGAAAGCTTATGCCAATGTTGCTCAGGAGAGTTGCTGGGCTCGCAATCTCACTCCTGCCAGAAAGCCTGTTGCACCACAAGGCCTAGCCTCCTTTGTCCGTGATCGGGACTACGGGAGAGGTGTGCAGGCGGGATGATTTTGTTGTCGGTTTCGCATACACTGTTCAATCCGAAGTTAGGAGCCGCAAGAGAGCCTCGACGCGGATGCGGAGGCAAATCCAAGTAGCACCAACCTCACAGAAAGTATGAAGGCACGATGGTGGCCGCTGCAACCTAGCGTACCTTGTTCGACGAAAGCGGAAAGATTTCGAAAGCTGTTATTGGAATGCAAATGCAAATCCAGGATGCGGCTGTGCAAACCCTGGATACAATCTCAACTGGAAGGTCTGGCTCTAACCCCAGGAGATGACTGCGGGATATGGAAAGTGATATGGAGAATGGGCAGGTCTCTCACTAGACCTACGGCGAACCGATTTCACGCAACCTTGCTAGTTGCTCAGAGATATGAAGAGTACAAGCACTCGGCCTGCACGCGGGGCACTATGGCTCGCAGGGGTCCTAGACTCTCCTTAGACGACCACAATGAATGATATGAAATGCTGAAGCTGTTAACCAGTTGAACACGAAGTAAACCCGTCGTGTTACAAAACAAGCAAAAGCAAGCACAACTGAGCACTTGTTTTACTTGAGCCAAATCATGTTCGTGTGCGTCGTTCAAGCTGCTCTTCATCTACCTATAGAAGGACGTTCTTAGCTACATCATGCAAGGGCCTGGGGCTCGAGTACTGTTAACTAAGAAGCAAATTATTGCTCAAATGGGCCTGTTGAGGAAGACCAAGATAGATGGCATGCGGAATCACGCAGATCGAATGACCAGATATGTGTTTCCACTGATGTGTTACAACGCCTACCGGCAGTCGATCGTCACTAAGGGTCGCAACACACACACACACACAGACACAGTCACACACACACACACACAGACACACGGAGACACACAGAGGCACACAGAGACACACAGAGACACACACAGACACACACACACACACACACAGACACAGACACACACAGACACACACAGACACACACACACACACACACACACACACAGACACACACACACACACACAGAGACACACACAGAGACAGACACAGAGACAGACACAGACACAGACACACACACACACACACCAAAGCAAAGCACACACCAAAACACACACCACACACAGCACACAACACACACACACACACACACAGCAAACAGCACACAGCACACAGCACTCGCACGCCCGCGCACCCGCAAAGGAATGTCTGCGTGTGAGGATTTACGCTCTCGCAACTCGGACAAGCCAGACGAGGTTCTTGGTGCGCGTCGATACTACAAACGGTTCCCTTGGGCCCATCATGCATCACACAGCAACCAACATCAAGGTAGTGCCACTCAGTACGGGATCAAGTGCGTCATTTCGAATTCGTCAGGAGCAGGCTCAAGGACCCAGCCGCAGTAAGCTACGCTATACTACAGCTCAGTTGTCAGTTCGGCATCCAATAAGGCAGAAAAACACCAGCAACAGAAGTTAGGGCCACAGAGGACATCGGACACCTGGACACAGCAAGCTTTGACCGTGTGTGAAACACCCAGATACTCGCTAACCTCACAATCGACAGACTACAACCTTTCTTAGCCCTGGGGTGAAACTAAAGAGGCATCAGGCTCAGTCCACTCAGTGGGCACGGTCAATCGTACTTCGGCGACCAGTGACAACTCAAGACTCAGACCGCATTGCAGAACCGCCACGTTCATGGCTTCTCTCCGAGCTCAGTGGCACGTCCATGGAACTACACAAGTGGTCCCTATCCCGCTTCCTGCTGGGCGACCCTCCACATAGGCCAGCTCTGCTCCGCCCACCCTTGGCATGCCGTTCGTCTTCCAGTATGAGCAGGCGGGCGCAGCTGCTCCTGCACCTTGCGTGAGCAAGGGTTGTGGTTCAAGCGGGCGACCGAGCAGCTTCGGCCAGTCAGTGGCTGAGGTGTCACGACTGGAAACACGGGTCCTTTCCGTTGCGGGTGAGGCAGCGTCAGAGGTCTTCATTGTGTTCTGTAGTCAACAAAACCGCTCTCTCCAGCTCGCATACACCAGTGATCATCGCGGGCTATCTCGCCCCAGTCAGTTCCAGCAGAAGTGGTGCAGCGAAGGAGAAATGGCCACCGTAGCTTCCGCGGAGGCATGGGTTCGTGGTGGTTTTTAAGGTTGGCTATAAGCGGGTAATGGTCGGGATGAAGGGAAAGTGATTGATCTTGGTTGCTTGGGTGTGGATTGCCGCGCTTCTATGCAAAAAGGACTTGCGCAGAAACAATCCATTGTACACTTTGACTGCTGTATTTTGGCGCCTGCAAGATCTCGACTCAAGAATTCTCTTCAGCAAAGCAAATTTTCATGGGGTAGCGATGCAGGCTCCGGATGCTTAGACAAACACCTCCAAGGAATTCGGCACGTACGTGTGCAGCCGGGCCGAGGCGGGCGATGCGAAGCGTTCAAAATTACGTGCTTGCATATGCTTGCAGTATGTCCCTGCACGAGAACTGGTTCGGCAGAATTCAATCGGAAATTCGCTTCCAGGCTTCGCGGCGAAGCTCCAAACCCGCTGGCCGCCAAAAGGGCCATTCGGAGGGTTCGAGACAAAAAGCGGCGAAATCACCTAACAAAAATGCGAGCTGGCGAACCGAGGATGAAATTCATCGATTTCTTTCAGATTCAACACACACACACCGCAGAATCCAGCAGCAGAGATTCCGAGATCTTCTAATGTTTGGACTTCGCTGACGCCGCGACAAGGTAGCCAAAATCCGACATGAGCAAGACTGCTGCAGCAGGTAGGACAACTGCGGAAAGTCAAAAAATCCACAGTACGTGCCCGAGCCACGAAATTGCGGGGCCCCACCGCCCCACCCACCCGGCAGCGGGCCTCCTCCTGGCCCAAAGCCTCGGTCGCCCCATCCTGGCCGGAGGAGCGCAGAGAGCGCAGAGAGCAGAGTGTTTTGCGCTTTGCCGTCGCTTCCTTTCTTCGCGCTTTTAAGGGCCCCTCCGAATCTCAGGAGGCAGAGTGTTTTGTAGCTTTGGCAGTCTCTAACATTGAGGTTTCGATCAGAAGCGCTTGGCCCCTCTCTCTGCTTCGCAGTCTCCCCTCTCCGAAGCTGCCGGCATGACCCAATCGAGCTCTAGAACCTGATGCACGCTCGGAGGGCTCCGCAAGAGTGCCTCACGCATGTTGGAACTTGGACCGAGGCGTTCCACAGAACCTCCGCCGCGACGAGCAGGACGTCAGAGCCTTCTGAACCGGTTTAAGGTTTGCCCGAAGACTCTGGAGTCAAGGGTTTGTACTCAGGGGTTGGCCGAGCAAATTCACCCGGATGACGTGGACAAGGTTGGAGATCAAACCGCAGTTGGTAATCTGGCATGCGAGGGGCCTGTACAAGGACCTCAGCTCTTGAGGAGTTGCGACAGTGTGGCTCTGGAGCTCTGCCGAGAAGCATGTCGCGGATGGCCCCAAGCGTGATGACGATCGACTGCAGCGATCGTCGAGGCGTAGCTGCTAACGATTGCTAATAGCTGATGATCGCAACAGCTGGCAGCGGGAGCCTCGGGGCTGTCTTCCGAGCGGAAGGAGGCAGAGACTGCATCCTTTGAAGGATCCCGCTGCCACATAGAAGTGCTGAGCTTTGCGGCGGGGCTCCGGCCATGACGTTGGACTGTCGCAGAATCCGCAGATTTGGGGTCCTCAGGGCAGGCCGAGGCCGCCGGGGGCCGGGGACTCGCCGCGGAGTTGACACAGGTTCGTCGCGGCGAGGCCGCAGCCCGGAATCCGCGACCGCTTGTATCAGTGGCTGATTCGGCAAGAGCTCCACGCCTGCAATGGGATCCCTTTCCCGTCCCGTCATGGTCCAATCCTCCGTCTTGGGGCCAGAGCTGTCTTCGTCCAGGCCGAAACGTGCCCAGCAAGCCAGGGTGTGGGCGACCTACGTGAGCGGTCCGCAGCGGTCCGGTGGGGCATTTTGACCCTCGCAGCAACTCGCACCTCGATCCGAAGGCGCTCAAACATGCCCTTCCGCTCTTGTCGGGCCTCGGTCTCGCTCTCTTCTTCCAGGCAATCCTATCGGCCTCTCCCCAACCTCCGTCGCTACCGGCGGCAGTGTGTAGGTCAGGACACTGACCAAGCCCTGACAACTCGAAGCCAAGAGCTCTAGCCGCTACTCTAGCCGCTACAGTAGCCCGTCTTGCCTTGATGAAGGCAGGGAGGTGGTGGCCGTAGGTGATCATGTCTGAGGTCTCGGCGAGGAGCAAAGCTTTCTGGCTATTCGTCTACCCGCCCGCCCACCACCACTCACGTGACTAGCCGAGCAGCCTTGCAGCTCACAAAGGGCTGTGATGCCACGCGTGTGAAGTCACAGAGAGCCTGTGCCAAGTCTTGGCCTCCGAACGATGCTTGCAGCCTTGCGTTCATGTGTTTCCGGTGACACTGGAATCCACCGGCCTTCAGCAAATCTTTCGACCTGATCACCCGGTTAAACTTGCAGGCTCCGGAGCTGCAACGCCTCTGATCGGAGGTCCATGCGGCCAGGTGTAGCAGGTCGACCAGTGCTTCCAAGTGCTTCAGAAGGAAACCTCGTGCTTGCAGAGACCAAGAGCAACCTGGTACAGTAGGTACATGTAGGCAACGCGCCATTGCAGCAGACCTTGCAAAGCTTGCGTATTGCAGCGACGTGCCGGTCCTCAGCCACAGGATGCCATACACTGTCATACACTACGTAGTCGCCACTTCATGCGGATTCAGCAGGAGAAAAGCACTCGGCTACCAAGTCAACGGTGTACTTGGAAGTCCTCGGACTCAGCTGTGCCGCGAAAGAAGACAAAAGACATATCACTGGAAGAGCACTCGTGTTGACTCCAACAAGAGCCCAAACGCATAAGCTCCATGATGGCGCCGAAGTCGACTTCGTCGGGCCTGAGGGCTCAAAGCTCAATGTGCCGTGCATCTGCGGCCATCACACGAGGTCACGAGCTTCTGGCGCGGATGCAATGGTGACGGTCATAGCGCCCCCTTTCTGTGGCTCCATCCTGGGCCTGAGCCCCGCTGCGGCCGCTGCGGACCGAACTAAAGGACGTCAACCACCCCTTCCCCCATTCGACCCCATTCGAGCCACCACTGCGAAGAAAGCGCAGGCTGTGGTGGATGGCACGAAAGGCCGAAAGGAAGAAGCACTGAATTTCGGGAGTGTTTTGCAAGCATCTCAGACTCTCAGACCAGCCGGCAGACCAGTCAGCCCATGTCGCCTCTGTACATATCACGTGATCTCACGAAGGCCTTGGGTGGCCAGCAGTACATGGAGCGCTGTTTCAGCCGCAGAACCGCAGCATCCTCAGGACACAGCGCCGGCGATGTGGGCCATGTCGCGATAGACTTGGCCTGGTCTTTTCAGGAGAAGCATCACAAATCCGACTGCGGTATGCACCGGCCTGACCCCTCACGTTGCCCTTGCGTTCAGCACTCTGCTGCTGGTACCTCGGACTTTGCAGGGATGCATCTTGGTTTGCAGCCAAGGTCCCTGTCACTGTCGTGCGAGGCAAACATGCCTGACGAAGGGCAACCGGAGAAGACTCGGATTCGAGACAAGGGCTCATCACGAACATGTCTTCGGCATTCGAAATGGAAAGAAAGGACCAGATCTGTCACTGGGAGGATGGCCAACATCGCGGGGAACAGCATTTTAGCGATCTCCTTCTTCTCGGGAGCCGCAGACTCTGTAACATTGTAGCCCGCTCGAAACGAGCTAGGATTTCGGCTCTCGACACTCCGGAGATCGCGGTTACTGGCGGACTCAAAGAGTGAAGGACGGCTCCCGTCGGGCGCCCGACGCGAACCAGGCCTGCCCTCGGCACTGCAGAAACTCCTGGATCCAAGGCGCGGCAAGGCCAAATCAGCTCCATCCAACGATGCGCTAATTTCTTCGTCCTTTTTCTCAGAGAGACTGACTCGAAAGCCTTGTTTCTCTCCTGTGGCCTCAAAACACCACAGGAACACCGGAAAAAAAGAAACTTGGCTGAGGCCACCGCAAGATCTGCTGACCTGCACTCGAACTTGAAGATGGATGTCATGCATTGTAAAACCCCTATCCTCGCCTCCGTTGCAACGCCGATGCTGTGGCCGCTTTGGCAAACGGGAGCAGCTCCTGGGAAAATTTGGATCACACATCACAGCCGAGGCTTCTGCCTCGGCTTCGGCTCGGGCTCTCGCCGTAAAGGCTTCAGGGGGTTCTGCCACCGGTTCGCCACAGCGCAGTGCACCCGAGAACCTGACACAAATGACCTCTTCGAGAATCTTTTCCACTCCGGGGCTCTGGCTCTCCACCGCTGGTATTCACCTCGAAACAACAGGGCGAATAGATGTGAGATCTTGCTTCTTGCTTCGATCGCTTTTGCACCTTGACGTGGTAGCTGTGAGCACCTGAGACTTGAGACTTAGACGCTGTGAGCACTCTTCGCCCACTCTTGCCATGCCCCGCACCCGGACTCAACTGAGCTTCGTGCACACAGCCTCGCGGCCCGGAGGCAGTGGGACTGGCACCACAGGAACCTATCTTCGCCGGTGCATGGAAGGCTTGTAACGCGAGGATGCCGCGCACAGCGCGCGGCGAGCGCGCGCCGTGCGTGCGCCTGCAAGCGCCGCAACTCCTCGTAAAAGCTGATGTCCTGCGAGGCGGCCCAAGGGCGGCCCACTGGAGATCTTGGTCCTTGCGATTGCGCCACTCCTCGGACCACTCGACGTCCGGCACCGGGGTGAGCTCCCAACATGCTCTCGTGAACATGTAAGAGAAGCCTCAGTTGTCTCTATCTCCGCGGCAAGAGGTTCCGTCGTTAGCTTCAAGAGCGTCGATGCATTGTGCGATATCCGCGTTCGCAGCTTCACGAAACGAGCCGAGCTTCGAGCAATTTCGAGCAGCTTCTGCTCAGACCGGACAGCTTTGAGGCCAAGCATGGCCCTGGCCGCCCTGAGGTTCTGCCTGGCCGCCCTGGCCCTCTCTGCAAACTCTTGGAGACGCAGGGGCAAAACCCCTCGTTTTCTTCTGTTTGGCGGGCGCCGTCTTCGCAAGCATGGCGCAGCGCGGTGAGCGCCCGCGTGCTGCACCACCATCTGAGGACGGGCAAGAAAGCACAAAACAAACCGTGTGAACTTGGGGAACCAGAGGAATCCGCTTGACTTCAATCGCAAATCAGGGCGCTTCCGATCGGCTACCAAGCAAAGCAAAGCAACAGCGGCAAGCAAGGCGTTGGAGGCCAGGAGGTTCGATCGGTGTTGATAGTTGATACCGCAAGAACTCAAGCTGTCGCGTGAAGCAAAATTGGTAAGACGGTTGGGCTCGAAACGGACGTGGCGGGTGTACATGTAAACTTGTCGTGGAGAAGTCAGACGTTCCGCTGGGCCACCGATACCATCTGACCATTTCCAACCAAAACAGCATCTGCGACTGCAATCGGGAAGCACAACACATCAAAACGAGCGAGTCGTTGGCCAACACCCAAAACTACCAGACACCGACAAGGCCTAATCGGTTAGACTGTTAAGTTTTAAACTACATATAAGCCCTGAAAGAAGGAACGACTTTTCCAAAGTTCGGGGCCCTGGCCCCAGCCGTAGAGCCAGCCATGTCTTTGTTCTCGAGGGATCTTAGACAAGGCTTTAAAGGGCAATCTCGGCGCACCACTTGTTCCGTTTCTGACGGCGCAACCAAGGGGTCCCTTTCGACGTCCATGAACCCGAAGGTCATATCCTATAGACTATAGACATGTGTAGTCACATGAGAAGTGGAATACCCTGTGCAAATATCACGCATAAGTCGCAGACAGACAAGTCCAGCAGATGCCTCCAAGAAGTTCTGACAAAGACTTAGCCGCCTTGCATCAGGTCGTTTTGCGTGCTAAGCTCCGTGCCACTCTCGTAGGGTTATGGCCACAGGGATGAGCCTTCGATCGGATAGCTGACTACAAGTAGCATGACGTTGTCTGCATCTGCAATCCCATTCTGTCCTGGACTCTTTGTGCAGGGCCGGCTGCTTCTCTTTCTCCATCTCCTTCTTCTCGTTTTCTCTTCGTGCCTTTTTGAAGCGGGGATGCGTGCGCCGCGCGCAAGCGCGCCCAATGCAGTGTCTAGGTCTAGGTCCGGCCGGTCCTTGTCCAGGGTCTTGTCCAGGCGCTGCTTCATCCACGTGAGGTAGCCGCTGGCATAAAGATCGTCATCATCGAAATGGGCCAAGATCTCGCCTGCAAGCGTTTTTTGGAGAGGAACTGACGCGCTTGTGCGACCAGCGCGGGTGGCGCAAGCAGTGTGAAGCCGCAGACAAGCCTTGAGCGAGCTGGATGGCTACGTTCCGCTTGAGACCCAGAGACCAGGATGCAGATGCCTGGACAAGGGGTATTGGGCTAGCAGCTGTCTTCAAGCAAGAACCAGCCGGACTGCGAAAATCCCACATCGTTTTGGCACTTGCCCCTTTACCTCGCACGGACGAGAACTGAACCCTCTCTGGCTCTTGTCGGAGGTTGTGGCTGAGGTGGGAGTAAGGCGGATTCAGCCGACCCCAAAATGCCGGAAGCAAGTACAACTTGTAGGAGCTTTGCGGGCAGCACTCCAGATTTAATTACTCGTCTCGTGCTCAGCTCTCTCTCTCTGCACTGCTCCAGCTGAGCTGGAGTGAAACGCAAGACGCCTCTGAGCCGGACTCTGTCCAAACATTCTGGTCGCCGATGCTGAAGGTGACCGGTTTGCCTTCTTTCGACAATTAAGCCACAAAACCTTGCAAGTAGCGGGGGTCGGGGGAGCGCGCGCCTTCCTTCCATCCTTCCGGCATGTCCTGATCTCGAAGCTTCTAGGGCATGGCCCTGGCTGACTGGCTTGGACTTGGAGCGGCACCATTCGCGAGTCGGCGACCTGGTAGTGCCGGTACACCACGCGCGGGTCCTCGCCTCGCAAGTAGGGCGCAGAAGCGCAGCGCAAAGAGTAGCGATGGCGGGGCACGGAAGAGAAACGAGTCTCTAAAACTCCGGGTCACGGTGGAGTCTCAGGAGGGGACGGGCCCTCGCCTGGCAGAGGAGCTCAGCTTGCACAGTCAGTGTGGGATATGGCATATGGTCCTGCTTGCCTGCATGAAGTTGGAGGCACATGGCCCAGTGTCCACCACAACCTGCCCCCAAATGTGCGAGATGCAAGCTGCTTAAAAGCTGCAAAGCCGATCTGCACAGACCGGCCAGCTGCTTGGGTTCGTAGTCCTGGAGTCGGAAACACCTCGTTCCAGCGGGCCGAAGTGGGAAGCGAGACATCGGTGGCCATCTGCTTCAAAGTGGCTCGTAGAGGAGAGGGTGGAAGCCGTGACGTACAAAGCTGGTCGGAGCGACCACGGAGATCAACTCGCCCTCTCGGGCCGGTCGGTGAGGCACACGATCCTGAACATCCAAATCCGTCTCTCCGTTCCACCACTCCGGAACTCCGGCTCGGAGAGAGCCTGAGGGTCGAAGATGCCATCGGTGAGCCTTGCAGCGACTCGCGTGACGACATGGGAAAACACCCGCTGCCCAGCTCGACCCCGCTGTTGGGGCCGTCTCAGAGTGTGGCACGAACAACGCAGCTTCGCTAATGGTCCAGCTCGGGGCCACCTCACATGGGTCAGGAGGCGACGCAGAGGCGGCCGACAGCAGAGCCTCTATCTTAGAGGGCCCTGGCGAAGGGGAGTCGAGGATGCAACCTCAGAAAATCCGGGGCGGAAGCTCGTGCTCTCATTGTGCTTGCAGTGCGCAGCGATGTGCAGCGGCCACGGTGGCGACCTGAGGGAAGCACGGGCATGGCCTCCAGCTCCGCACCTCAACAGAGACAGGAGACAGGGGGCCACTGCGCCTTTGGCATCCTTTGGCCCCATTGGGGCTGCGGCGAGTGAGCGTACTCGGGCTGCCCGCTGCTGCACCTCGTGAAGCCTCGATCGGAAAGGCGCTCAGAGGCGCTCGCATCCGAAAGAAAGGGCTCTGTGAGGGCTCTGGCCAGGTCTCGAGGCTTTGATGCTGGTGGCTCGGACCTTGGAGCGCAGCCCGAACCGTGGCTTGCGCGGCGGCGGGTCGACTCCGTGACTCTCCGTGACTCTGCTCGGCTTGCGACAGCCGCAGCGAAGGCATCGGGCCGGAGCCCTCAAGCTCGTCGGTACGAGCGAAGCACCAGTCTCATCTTCCCGTGGCCTCAAATGCATCTCACATACGAGCTAAGCGCTGCAATGCTGCAACTGTACACGGTACACCGGCACACGTCATGTCTGAGACTGGAGCCAGAAGAGGAGCCCACCCTGGAATCCTGGACAAACTCTGCACCTAAGCCGGGAAAGAACGTCTTCGCCAACGGCCAAGGACATATCTTGGCCGAGCATCATTTTGCATGGTCCGCGGGGGACCTCTTTTGCGGTTCGCGATCAAAACATGGAGAAAATGATTCGGCAATGCCAGAGTTCGCGGCTCCCAGTGCATCGGCTTGGAGTTCTTTGCGCCGCCGCTCCTCTCCGCGCGACTCTCGCTCCTCGGAGCCGTCCGAGCCGTCCGAGCGCCGGGAGCCTCTGCCAACTCTGCGAAGCGTCACCACGTGACACGTCACCACCAAAAAAACAGCCAGTCGTGACTCGTGCGCCTTTCCCCAGTGCCGCAATCAGTTTGCCCAGGCCAGGCGGGGGCATGGATCATGGCATTGGGCAGCTCGGGGGATCATGGGATTGGTTACTTCTGTCTGTTACTGTTGGCTCCCATGACGAGTCCTATCATCTATTGCTGAAGCGGCACTGAGTAGGCACACATAACAATTCATAATTATTGCATTTAATTCTGTTCTGGTAAAACAAGCCTGCGCGCCATTTCGAATTTGACGAAAGTGTTCCCACCCCGGGCGTGTCAGAACCCCGTTCCCAACCTGTTGGGGACATGCACTGTGTACATGTGACCATGCGAAGAAGAAAACTTGCTGCAACGACTGATGAATCGTCCAAAACAAGACACGGACTTCGAACAAACCTCAGGAGGCTGCGATGTGTGCGCTCCGCAGCTGCCCAACAGAGCTGAAGTAACTGATTTTGGCGTCAGCTCTGGTGAATCCTTTGCGAAGAACCCCGAACAACTTCCGAAGCGGAGCCGTCCGGCAGGCCATGGCGATGCCGTGAGGGCCCGAGCCCTCAACGCTCGCTGCTTGGTCTCTTCGCTGGTCTTCAAGCTATGGCAAGAGGCGCAAAGAGTCTGCAAATTCTCGAGGCCACACGTGCCACCTCCTTGCCAAACAGGCAAGATGTGATCGGCCTGCCACAAAGATCCCTCCGTGAGGTTGAAATCGTCTTGTGACTCGGTGTCAAAGCGCGTTAAGTACGAAAGCAATGTGTGCAACGCCGCTGACTGTGCTGATTTGCTCTCCGCTGCCATCCTTCGAAGGTTTTCGGGCCAACTGCCTTTGCTGGAGCTTCTCAAGTTCTGCCATAAGCCGTGGCAGTCCAGGCCACAGCGCTGGCAAACGCCGCGCTCCAACTCGAAAAGCTGGCGCCGCAGGCTCGTGCCACTCCTCTTTCCGAAATACAAGGCTCGACATGGCCCGGTACAGAACATCTCACCTTCGCCACTCTCGCTCTTCCTGTGCACACGTAAACCAGCTCCAGGCTCCCAGTTCCAGGCTTCGGCAAGCTCCAAGGCTTTTGGGAGCGCCCGACGGCACTCCAGGCACAGCAAAAGAGGCGGAGGCCGCTGCGGCTGCGGCTCTTCCGGCTTCTCCGGTTTGTCTTGCGGCCGCCGGACCGGCACCGCGTCCTCTACCGGTTGCAGGAAGCGAACCGTCTGTCCACTGAAACGGCCTGTCTCGTAGTGCACAAAGACCTCACACTGCTCCTGCAGTCTGCGAAAAACACATATCTCTCTCTCTCTCTTTGCCTGGGGCCCGGCCCCTTTCGGTCCTCTTCTCTGACTGGGTGTGGACGAAGGAAACGGCAGGTGGATGGTGCGGCAATCGGCCTCACTTGGAAGCGCTCGGCCTGCAAGTCCTGTCGATGCGATGGATCGTAGCAGCTCATGTCAGCTCTCTGGCCTACAGATTTGCCCCACCCACCTCTGCACGATATGGCCTGCCCCGTGCCATCTTCTGCTGGAGAGGGGTCAAAGACTTCCAAGCTTTCTGAAAATCCCGCGCTTGCTGCAACAGATGCTGCTGCTCTGACTCTCCAAGAGCGAGCTCGCCGAGCTCTTCCTCTGTCTCTTCCGGTCCCAAACTCATCGCCAAGGGCCGGCTTGTGTCGCGACGGAAGGGGTGCAGCCGCAGCGTGTGAGGCGACATCTCGAAAGCGAATTGAAGACTGTTGCTTTCGCCGCTGTCTGCTGCATCAGCGGCGAGCGCAGCCATAGATAAAGGCTCAGCAGAGCCCAGCATCATTGCCTTGGCGTTGCATCGAGAGCAGAGATTCAGAACTTGCAGGAGACGAGTTCACAGATGATGGCCCTGCCAGATGGGTCCCGTGCAGGGCCGTCATGGAGAGCAGCCACTTCACGGAGCCGCTCCGAGAGCCCGAGCCATCGCTGGCGATCCGCCTGGCAGGACTTGGCCAAGCCCAGACCCCCCATGGAGACCGCCTCACTCCGACTCTGCAACACGTATCTTACATGCTAGGCAACATATGATTCTGTGGGTCTTGTGATTGACTCTTGATCGCCACGTTTCCTTGCAGCAAAGGGCCCCTTTCTTGGGGTTCGACTTCCGTGAGCCATAGGCGTACGAGTTAACGTTCGCAGCAGATCCTCTCTTTCGGCAAGCTGTTGGGAGCTTTGATTCGCGATCTTCCTGTCATTGACCCCGGTCTTTCGTTAGAGCTGTGCAGGTTCGATTGCTTGAGAAGCCAGTCCAGTGCCTTCTTCGTGACGCTCCTGACCTATCACGGCGAGCCTTGGAACTAGTGTCCTGAGCTTTGTCCTTGAGGCTTCCAACTAGTGTCTGGGCAAGCGCTTGGCTTCTGGACGCACGCTTGGCTGGCAAGGCCCGCAGCTTGTGCGGTTTTCGCATAGGCTTCTGACTTTGCCGGGTTTACCTGAGAAGTGTGTTCCGAGATGCCTTTTCGTGATGGAGCCAATGATGGAGGAGGATCGTCCATACCCGCCTGGGATGGCCACCCGAAGGGGTGGAGGCGGTATGCGAGAGAGGTGGCCTGGTACGTGCAGGGGACCAAACACAACCAACGCTGCTACCTAGGGACGCGCCTTATTGGGCGCTTGACTGGGAGTGCACGCGTTCGACAATGACCTTGGTGTTCTTATCTTCTTGCGGAAACTGGCGCAGTCTCCCCTTGTGCGCCGGTCCTTGCCGAACGCGGCCGCGATCATGTCACAGTACTTTCAGTTCAAGCGGCAACCGGGAGAGAGAGAGCATCACGATTGTCCTGGTGGGGGAGACCTTGGGCTTTGAGAAGTTCAATCAGGCTGGTCCGCTTGAGAGAAGCGAGACAGGGCATCACGATGGACAGGCAGCTCTTTGGCTTGGAGACCCTCCTGAAGAAAGAGGAGGAGAAGGATGATTGGTGATCCGAAGATTCATCGAGGCCTTGGTGGAAGTGTGGATGGTATGATGGCAACGAGGAAGACTACCACTCGGAGCAGGCTGGGGCGGAACCCACCGCACAGCAGGCACCTCTTGGTGGCTACGAACAGGAGGAAGCAGCCACTGCCGCTGGCAGCCCGAGTCGTGGACCGCCGGAGGATCAAGGCGGCGAAGGGCACACGCTACAGGAAGGTGGCTCGCCGGCTTCACGCCGGTTCGCCAAGGAGGTTGAGCGCTTTGCCAGGGGCATCCAGACGGACGATGACACCTTCGACAGCTTCATCCTGGATGTTCTTCGGGGGTGGAGGCTTCTTCAGGCGGCCAGTCTTTCCTTGGAGGATCGACGTGATGTGCTCTCCTCCACGGCCAATCTTTGAGTCTGCGTCCAATGCTCTGCAGGTTCTGTGGGATGAGCAGCTTTCGGGCGCAAGTCGCCAGAGCTCCAATGCCAATCCTCATGGAAATCCTCAGGTCTACCACATGGAGGAGCAGGGCGGCTAGGAGGCTCAATGGGCCGAGCAAGGATAGTGGGAAGAAGAAGACTGGAGAAGAGGAGCCGTGGTAAGGCGATTGGTCCCAAGGGCCAGCGGAGCCGGATCCCGATGCCTTCACGACAACCGAGTTGGATGATGGGCAGGTGGTTAAGCACTTCAGGCGGAGAGAGCGGCCGAAGCCATGGCGGCAGAGGCTGCAATGACCTGGAACAGGGCCCAAGACACCACAGCTGCTGTGAGAAAGGATCCCGGGTTTGGCGCTATGGGGGCTTCGGCCTTCAGGGCGGCGATTGGCACTGATCAGTGCCACAAGTGCGGCTCCTATGGTCACTTTGTCCGCGACTGCAAAGGTCCTGGAAAGGGCCGGCCCAAGGGCGCAATGATGGCGGACCATGAGTACGAGCCGGCCGGCTATGATGCGATCTACTTCGTGGGTGGCAAGGGCAAGAAGAAAGGCAAATCGAAGAGTCACTTCAGCATGAACGAAGGACCGATCTTCAAGGGCAAGGGCGGCAAGCATCCCAGAACCTTCCCGGGCGTGAATGCATATGGCTTAGAGATGCTTGGCTCTGAAGGGGCTACCGGGCTGAACAATCATGTGTTTTTGGAGAAGGACGCTATTCCTCCATCTCCCGGTCTCTTGGACTGTGGGGCAACAGCCTCTGCAGGTCCGGAGGCCAGTGTTCAAAGGCCCATTGCAGCACGATCACCATCGATCAATCCCGTCAGCCATACTTTCGCTATGGGTCTGGGGCGTGGGGCAGGGCACATTTTCATGTCACCTTGACGTCGCATGTGAGTGGCCAGCAGCTGCAGTTCGAGGTGTATGCCCTACCAAACCCGCATGAGTCTGTGGAGTCCTGGTGTGGGCCACGTGTTGGTACCTAGGTATGAGCCACATTGGAAGCGGTGGAGCTGGGATGATCATTGACTTTAATGACGGTTCCTACTTGAATGCTGAATGCAGCAGACATATCTAAGTTGCGACAGCGTCCTCCCGATGATCCTCAATACCTGACCTCCAACTCCAAGGGCCACTTCGTGCTCGACATTGTCCAGTACCTCACGGGAGGCCAGGTTTGCAAGAAGGGGAATTGTGCTGTGGTGGTAAAGCAACCGGTGTCTCTTTCTGGTAACGGTTCTCGTTCTGCAGATTATGTGCCGGTGCCGGACGCAGACGAGGATTTGCCGTTGCAGTTCATGTTTCCACTTGAGTCAGAGGAGAATGTGTTGACTTTGGCTGGTGCTGAGAGAATGAATCCTGAGTTGCGGCGCACCTTCATGCAGCTGATGTTGAAGCGACACACTTGTGAAATCTCCAGCTCGAGGATGAGAGGGCAGACCAGACCCTCTCCTCAGATCGACAATTTCGCCCCCGCGATCAACCATGGCTCCCAAGGCCAAGAGCAACTCGCTACCGGCGCTCGACCAGTCGCGCATGGTAGAGGCGGATCCTCGAGATCCCCGTGCCTTGCGGACGCAGTGGCCATGTTACGGGAGCCACCCATGCAGAGGTTGCAATCGGCAACAACAAGTTCGCCCAATGGAAATCTTGCACGGTCTGTTCATACAGACTTTCCTACACTGCCAGGGAAGGCGCCCCCGGGTCCGACCCCAAGACGGAAAACTTTCCAACGGTAAGGCGAGCGCTCTCCAAGCTGCACGAGGACATTGGGGATGGGCAGCCGCATGCCGTGATGGTGCGTGTGGCCATCGAGATGGAGTACGCAAAGAACCGCTGCCACCAGCTGATTCAGGAGTTCGACAAGAAGCGAAGGTGGCAACAGTGCTACCCAAGGCGGTGATCGAGGGCACGGCGCCTCTGGCTGCCACGACGCACAAGGCCAAGGGCTACTTGGAGGAGAGTGGAAAATTGTCGGAGCTTCTGAATCCGAATCTGGTGGAGATGGAGGACGGATCACAGGCCATCGCGGAGCTGCCCGATGACTGACAAGCTGGTCGGCGACCGGGTCCCCAGCAGCAACCTCATCATGCCAAGTGGCCAGCACAGTGTTTGGGAGATTGGTTGCAGTACCTCCTCGATGCTGACCACCGCCTGCCTTGCTGAGGGATTGCTCCTTCAGGGTCAACCATGTGAATGGGATGGACCTGTACAAGGCCGAGACCTACGTTACGACAACCTCAGGCAGCTGTTTGATCAACAAAAATCTGGGCAACCTTGAGTCACCTCAACCATTTGATCTGGCAGGACCGCCAGACCTTAGAGAGCCGACGGAGGCATGAAAGAACCATGCTGAAGCGCATGGGTCTGGGCGCTCCGTCGCAATTCCCTGCTCGAGATCTTCTGGGAGTGGCCTGCCGAGAGTCTTGGTTGGAAGGAGCCGGCCATGCAGCAACTAGAGAAGTCAGTCTGGTTGCGAAATAGAGATCAGTCGTGTTGATGGTTGTCGGTACGGCTTGCGCCTTGACAACAACGGACCCTTTGTGAAAAAAGCGTTGGGCCATCAGGACGACGTGTCCCAAGTTCCATTCACGAAGGTCTGAGTACAGGAGCATACGCACATACCGGTGCCCGCGTGGAAAATCACAGAAAATCACGGCCGTCTTGATTATCCATGGCGGTTTGTAAGTTCTGTTGCCAAGGCCTGGAAGGATCACTTGTTTCCTTTGCGCCACTTCGGCGCTAAGAGCGTGCTCTACAACTTTGCCGCCGAGGAGGCAGAGGACAACTATGAGCCTGAGGATGAAGAGTCAGCAGCCGAGGACCAGGGTGCGGAGGATGGTTCCACGGACGAGGAGCGCAAGGCCTGGGATCGAAAACTTCGTCGGTTCCACACGGCAGCTGGACATCCCTCCAACAGCCACAGCTGAGTGGATGGTGGAAGCGGCGGCTAAAAGTTCAGCTGTCCCGTTCCGGGTGGCATGTCATCCAAACAGGTGCCCCCTTTGTCTACCAGGCCGATTCCCGTGGCTTGGCAACAGGTTGTCTCAGACGTGGGAGAGTGGACCAGCCTACCTCACAAATGCAAGTTGAAGTTCGTTGTTTTCGTGGACCACCAAACTTCGTGTGGCAGAGCCTCTGTTCAGGTGTGAGGTTTCCGAGATGAAGACGGAAACCGGTTTACAACTGGTGGAGGCTTTCTCCAAACACTGGTTGAGTGGTAAGCCCAAACCCGAGATCTTCGTCCCGGACAATGCGAGGTCTTACACTTCAAAACACTTCCAAGACTTCTGCTCGAGTGTGAACATTTGGCTGGTTTGCCGAGTTCTCTCGACTACTATCTCTTCGTCATGATGCAGAGAACAAGGCCCGCGAGGTGCGAGCTCAACGTGTTCTTTCGACGTGAGCTCAGCTTCTAGGTTGCTTGATCGCTTGCATTGCATGGGTTTGTACGACGTCGGTCGGTCGGTTGGTCGGTCGGTTGTGCTTGCTTGAACTTGTGAGGGTTCGCTCAGCTTGTTGTCGGTCGGCCAGTTGTGCTTGCTTGCTTGAGGATAGGTAGGTAGGTAGGTAGAGCTTGTTGTCGGTTGGCCAGTTGTGCTTG